ACACACACATATATACCTACACACACGCACACCTACAGTACATACCTACACACACACACACACACACACATACACACACTTACATACACACCTACACACCCACACACTTGCGCACACACACACACACACACAAAATGGCAGCCTGATATTAAAGTAAGTATTATTATTCACCATTATCCTCTTCTGACACGCGACAATTAGGTATTTTACTAGGGTAATTAACCTTGCTTAATGAGCCTCGTATGCGCCCTTAATTTGAACTTATCTCGGGTATCAGTCCCATTTAGAACTTGATTGGCTACGTTAATGACCCCCATTAAGTTATTAGGGGTCACTTTGTATGTGGGTCTTTCATGGGGACTCGGGTTCAAAGTCTTCCTCTTTGTTGCTGTTGTCACATTGTCTGAATTACTTGAACATGACGACACAAAGAAGAAAAAAATATTACGTGAATTAAAATTTTATCATTAATTGTATACAGAGACGTGGTTAATATAGAGAAATTTATATACTGAAGAAAAAAATTGTCTGGTATAAGGCTGCAGTCAGGTTATTATTTTAAGAAGATCCTCGTAGTGTAAAATAGAAGAAGAATTACGACATTGTGTTAAAGGGAGTGAAATGATGTGGTGGCTGGTTGGTGGCTTCGTTACCTGAGTACCTGAAGGTGGATTAATTAAAGCTTCCTACGTTGAATATTTCTCGGAAAGGAAAGATCTAAGAATGTATTGTACCCAAGCTAAAATAACTAATAATAATACCAGAGGAAATTACCGAGCATTATCGTAGTAAATGATTAAAGGTTGAGTCTTATTGTTTTTCGCGCTATTTTGGGACATGATTTTGTTGTTGTTGTTGATCTTTTAAATTAACCCAACTGGATGTGTAATAAAATCATCATGTCTTAAATGTCAACAGTGATAAAGACTCTCTCCTCTCTCTCTCTCTCTCTCTCTCTCTCTCTCTCTCTCTCTCTCTCTCTCTCTCTCTCTCTCTCTCTCTCTCTCTCTCTCTCTCTCTCTCTCTCTCTCTGTTTTTGTATGTAAGCTTTTGGTAAAGCAAAATATTGTGTGTGTGTGTGTGTATCTTGACGCTCTCCTTCACAAGTTCCTCTTTTATTTTATTTTTTTACCAGACTGGGTTTTTTTCAGCAGGGGGTGTGTGTGTGTGTGTGTGTGTGTGTGTGTGTGTGTGTGTGTGTGTGTGTGTGTGTGTGTGTGTGTGTGTGTGTGTGTGTGTGTGTGTGTGTGTGTGTGTGTGTGTGTGTGTGTGTGTGTGTGTGTGCATAATAATAATAATGTAATAATATTATTATATATGTATATATACCAGCATATATATATATATATATATATATATGGCATACCCATGTGTATGTGTGTGTGTGTGTGTGTGTGTGTGTGTGTGTGTGTGTGTGTGTGTGTGTGTGTGTGTGTGTGTGTGTGTGTGTGTGTGTGTGTGTGTGTGTGTGTGTGTGTGTGTGTGTGTGTGTGTGTGTGTGTGTGTGTGTGTGTGTGTGTGTGTGTGTGTGTGTGTGTTGTGTGTGTGTGTGTGTGTGTGTGTGTGTGTGTGTGTGTGTGTGTGATAATATATGTAATTGAAACTTGGCAGCAGAACAAAAATATGATTATATTTGAAAGAATGGGTTACGAATTAAAATAATATACAAAAGTGACATAAAGTGACACAAATAAGATTTATATATATTAACTTAGATGGGGATCAGCTCAAATACAGTTCATTTAAACATAGTGACAGTGTAAGGAGCAGTGTTTACTGAAGTGAATACACTGATTTGTATTATGTTATTGATAATTTTTACAATGGTTGGGACTGGGCTGTTCTTATAGCGATCAGTTCGTGCACGTATGGAAGCTGGATGCGGTGTGGTGTCGAGCAGCAATTCTCGGACAGGGGATCAGGTGGTAGTGGGGCCGGTGTCGAGGATGGTGTAACTTACCAAATTGCAGATGAGGTCGTGGTGATGGTCAGTGAGAGTCGAAAGGGTCAGTGTGAGCACTTCTTGATATGGAGGTAGGAAGGGGAGAATAATCTTACCCTCTTTTGCACTAGAGTGTTTACGTTGTGTGGCATTTAGGGAGGGAAGACCAGGTGGGAGAGCATAGGTGAGCTTGGGAAGTATGAATGTTGTGCTTGGGCACTGAGGCTCCCGGGTGCAGGGGAACTCCAGGGACGAGTCAACGGAGGAGGTGGAGACGGAAACTGGAGGATTGACAACTTCACTGACGTGTGGTTTCAATTTAGTTTTGTGTGTGTGTGTGTGTGTGTGTGTGTGTGTGTGTGTGTGTGTGTGTGTGTGTGTGTGTGTGTGTGTGTGTGTGTGTGTTGTGTGTGTGTGTGTGTGTCAAGGTGTTGCATTACCTTTGTTAGATTGTTGAAACAGATTTCCTGTGCCAATAAAATGCTTGCTTCTCTGTCTAAAAAGTGTGTTGTATCGCTCTTGTGAAATTGTCGGTGTATTCTGATGTAAATGGCTCTGTCCCGAGGTGTCAGTATAGTGTAGACAAGAGTGTGTCGTTCTGCACACTTACAAAATACTCGTAAAGTGTCGCTGCCATGAAATGTTTTAA